GCTGTGCCAGGGAGGTGACTTCCTGGACAGTGTCTATCGCACTCCTGAGTCACTTTGCTTATTGATCGGTTTGCTGGGTCTCCCCGCACCCTCAGCAGCATGCGGGCCCACAGTAAACATCTATACACCCCTGCAAAGGTCTGGAGGGAAGATGGCATCACTTGCCTGAGCAGCGGGAGACTGGCAGGCTGAGGATGAGGCTGGGGGCTGCTGCCCATGTTGGGCCACTAAACGAGCCTNATGTTCCATTCTCTCTTATTACCATCAAACTTGCGGTGCCCGTGACCGAGGGCATGAGTGACCTGTGCCAGGGAGGTGACTTCCTGGACAGTGTCTATCGCACTCCTGAGTCACTTTGCTTATTGATCGGTTTGCTGGGTCTCCCCGCACTCTCAGCAGCATGCGGGCCCACAGTAAACATCTATACACCCCTGCAAAGGTCTGGAGGGAAGATGGCATCACTTGCCTGAGCAGCGGGGGACTGGCAGGCTGAGGATGAGGCTGGGGGCTGCTGCCCATGTTGGGCCACTAAACGAGCCTGGCGTCTGATCAAGCCTGCCTCCCCTCCCACGTCTCCAGACAGACCCTGTGCGGCTGACCCAGCTGTATGAGCAGGCCCGGTGGGACCTGCTGCTGGAGGAGATCGACTGCACCGAGGAGGAGATGATGGTGTTTGCAGCCCTGCAGGTGCCAGGCAGGCCTGGGGGCCCTGGGGTGCGGGCAAGTCCCAGGGCAGGAAGGGCCTTTCAGAGTGGGGACCATCTCCAGGGAAGCCCAGCTCAGGGGCCCTGTTGGGTGACTGGGCTGCTGGACTCAACCCTTCCTGGCCATGTGCCCCACCCAGTACCACATCAACAAGCTGTCCCAGAGCGGGGAGGTGGGTGAAGCGGCTGGTGTGGACCCAGGGCTGGACGACCTGGACACAGCCCTGAGCAACCTGGAGGTGAAGCTGGAGGGCTCGGCGCCCACGGATGTGCTGGTGAGGAGGGGCTCAGGCAGGGGCCGGGTCAGGGCCAAGTGCAGGGGACCCAGGCCCCCTCTGACTCCTCTGCCCCACAGAACAGCCTCACCACCATTCCGGAACTCAAGGACCATCTCCGAATCTTCCGGTAAGTTTGGGCCAGAGTTGGCACCCTGCAGGAGGGTCCTGTGTGGTGGGAGAGAGGAGGAGGGGGAAGGGTGCCTTTCACCGCCTCCCGCCTCCTGCTCAGGCCCCGGAAGCTGACCCTGAAGGGTTATCGCCAGCACTGGGTGCTGTTCAAGGAGACCACGCTGTCCTACTACAAGAGCCAAGACGAGGCCCCGGGGGACCCCATTCAGCAGCTCAACCTCAAGGGTGAGTGAACAAGGGCGCCACCCGGCCCACCTGCGGTGAATGCTCGCACCCTGCCTCAGTTTCCTCCTGGGGACCAGGGAAGATGCCCTCCGTCCTGAGGTGGCTGCACAAGGCTGGCATTCACACAAGAACCTCTCAGGCAAGGCTCCCCCTCTCCGACCTCCTAGCCCACCCCTTCTTCTCCCTCCAGGCTGTGAGGTGGTCCCTGATGTCAATGTCTCTGGCCAGAAGTTCTGCATCAAACTCCTAGTGCCCTCACCTGAGGGCATGAGTGAGATCTACCTGCGGTGCCAGGATGTAAGTGAGGGCTGGGCAGGGGCCAGGGCTGGGAATGAGGCTGCAGCAGGGACGGGGCAGGAGCTGGGGTAAGGGTGGGGGCCAGGACAGGGACTGGGGGCACTGAGCCAGAGCTTGGCTAGCCCCTCACTCCCTCCCGGCCCCTCCTGTGCAGGAGCAGCAGTATGCCCGCTGGATGGCCGCCTGCCGACTGGCCTCCAAGGGCCGCACCATGGCAGACAGCAGCTACGCCAGTGAGGTGCAGGCCATCCTGGCCTTCCTCAACCTGCAGCGGATGGGCGGCGGGGGCTCTGGCAACCATCCACAGGGCCCCGATGCCTCTGCTGAGGGCCTCAACCCCTATGGCCTTGTTGCCCCCCGCTTCCAGCGAAAGTTCAAGGCCAAGCAGGTGTCTAAGAAGTGGGGTGTGGGAATGACCACAGTATTTACCTGGCCACCCTTGATCCCTGGATCTCCATAGAGCCTTCCGAGTGGGAATGACCACAGTATTTACCTGGCCACCCTTGATCCCTGGATCTCCATAGAGCCTTCCTTGGAAAGCTGGGTGCTCACCTGTTCCTTCTCCCACCATGTACCTGAGCTGTGCGGGATGGTCTCTGCCCTCTGGGAGGGGTCATGGTCCAGATGCCCATGTCCACCTCAGGGCCTGGCTCAGCCCACATTTGCTGAGTGGTGAGAGGTTGTACTTTGGTGGCCCCACACTGGGCACTGCCACTTCCCTAGGCTCAGCATCCTGTGTCCATGACAGGGGAAGGCAGGGGGCTCTCAGGGGCTTTCGGGAAGGGGAAGAGAGCCTGGCAGCCCCTCACCAGCATGGTTCTGCAGCTCACCCCACGGATCCTGGAGGCCCACCAGAATGTGGCCCAGCTCTCGCTGGCTGAGGCCCAGCTGCGCTTCATCCAGGCCTGGCAGTCCTTACCCGACTTTGGCATCTCCTATGTCATGGTCAGGTATGATCCCCAGCCCTCCCCACCCTGCCAAGCCCATCTCTGCCCTCGCCTGCTGCCTGGCTGCTTTGTGTCCACATCCTAAGAGCTGGTCTTGGGTGGCACCCCGAAGCCTCCCTTCCCTTACTCTCTGTGGGCAGACCTTACCGAGGGCCCTCTGTAAGCCCCCACCCCATTCTGCACCCCCAGAGTAAACACAAGAGACAGAGCTTCAGCCAGGAAAGCAGGAGACCCATTCCCATCACAGCTCTGCCACGGGCCTGGGTGCCCTCCCCAGGCCTGGGTCAGCTGTCTGTAGGACAGGGCCAGCGCTAGGCGCTGCTACAGGGGTGGTGCCTTTGATCATTCATTTCCCAAGCCTGCAAAGGTATACATACGGCAACGGATGATAATGATGATAACCAAAAACCCCATGAAAAGTGATTGGTTAAAGTCATGGTCTACTTCCCTGCTGCTGCTAAATGCTGGTATACTGATTATATGAGTTAACCCCCATTTTCTTTTTTTTTTCTTTTTTTTTTTTTTTTTAAAAAAAGATGACCGGTAAGGGGATCTTAACCCTTGACTTGGTGTTGTCAGCACCACGCTCAGCCACTGAGCAAACCGGCCATCCCTATATAGGATCCGAACCCGTGGCCTTGGTGTTATCAGCACCGCACTCTACCGAGTGAGCCACGGGCCGGCCCATCCCCCATTTTCTAATGAGGAACTTTAGATGCAGAGAACCTAAATGACTTGTTCAGGATTGCACAGCTGGTGAGCTGCAGAGCTGGGGGATGAACACAGCTCTGTCCTGCTCCACTGTGCTCGCTCTCCAGCACTGCACCATGTCATCTGGGTGGGCTCCGGGAAATGCAGGTGGAGCTCTTGCTCACACTCTCTTCCCCTCGGGACCAGGTTCAAGGGTAGCAGGAAAGATGAGATCCTAGGCATCGCCAACAACCGACTGATTCGTATCGACTTGGCTGTGGGTGATGTGGTCAAGACCTGGCGTTTCAGCAACATGCGTCAGTGGAATGTCAACTGGGACATCCGGCAGGTGGGCCCAGAGTGAGGGTAGGGACAGGGGACAGGCGATCAGGGCCAGATCCAGCCAGGGCAGGGCAGGGGCTGCTCCCTTATCCCACCCCCCACAATACCCTCTGACTGTCCGCCCTGCAGGTGGCCATCGAGTTTGACGAGCACATCAACGTGGCCTTCAGCTGTGTGTCTGCCAGCTGCCGCATTGTGCACGAGTACATTGGGGGCTACATCTTCCTGTCGACTCGGGAGCGGGCCCGTGGGGAGGAGCTGGACGAGGACCTCTTCCTGCAGCTCACAGGGGGCCACGAGGCCTTCTAAGGGCTGTCTAACTGCACTGGCCCTGCTCCCCACCTGCCACGGCCACTCCCCAGCCCACACCCACTGGGACTCACTACTCCACACCCTCTCCAGGCAGTCACTGATCTGGGCACACTCACCCACTGTCACTGGCTTTGTGCAGACCAGGAACTGGCTGGGCCAGACTCTGCCATCACCCAGGCCAGGCATGGTGGGCCCTGAGCTCATTCAGCACCCACCTTCCCTTGTCTGAGTGGCTAAGGCCTTACCTAAATGTAGTCCCTGAGCACACAAGAAAGACGAGATTTAGCTACAGGATGATAAATCATGGTTTGCAACTAGAGTTTCTTTCTTGTTACTTTTCAAAAATTTTCTTTTTTATAAATAAATATTTTATTGTTGAATCATCCTTCTTCCTCTGGGGCTATGCTTGGGGCCACTCTGACACACTGTCTCTTTATCACCAGCCAAGGAGAGGGGTTTTCCTGAGATAGAGACAAGAATTTGTTAGAGAAAGGGAGACCTGAGGTGAGGGCAGAAGGGCACAGGCTTCAGGCACAAAGACTAGGAGAAGGGGCAGTGGTTCTCACGGGTAGGGCGTAGCTGCAGGGCCTCCTTGAAGTACTTGGGAAGCAGGAAGCCATCAGCATTCCCTGGAGTCAGGATCACCCCATTGGCAGAGCGGAAGAAGGGTATTCCATCTACCGACAGAGCTAGAGATGTGGCTCATGCCCTCCCTGAAGACCTAGGGCAGTCCCTGCTGTGTCCACACTCACCTGCCAGGGCCAGGGGTCCATTGATGAACACAGCCACTTCGCAATTCGGCCGCATGCCTGCAGAGACAACTGGAGCTGGAGCCTGGGGCACCTAGGGCTGCAGTCAGCAAACCTGGGCACACTGGGGTCCTGGGCTGGGGTGCAGGGAGGGGTGCTGCTCCATGCAGAGCAAGGGGTGGCCTCAGACAAGAGAAGCCATGACCCTTGGAGGGGCCCTGGGAGGACGGAATGGGTGGGAGTAGCTGGGTCAGGTGGGGGAACTGACCACTGATGACACCAGTGTCCCCAGGCAGTCCTGGGGCCAGGTGGATGTGCATCCTTCCCTGGCAGGACAGACCCTTGAGCAGGATGGATGGCCAGTGCTTCCAGAATGTGCCATGGACTAGCATCAGGGGTAGGGCCTGTGGCATCTCTAGGGGCATCAGCTCCAACTCAGGTACCTGGGATGGGTGGTTGAATGGGCAGCAGTGAGACCTCCTTCATGGGCAGGGGGCTCTCCACTTGTCCCCTTAGCTAGCTCCCACCTGCAGGGAGTGGCCCTGATTGGCCCGGATGAGGGGGCCCATGCTGGGATCCCCTGGCTGCAAGGTGAAGCGTTGCTTCTCATTGGTGCCCACCACGCGCTGCACATCTTCAGCTGAGAATCCGTGGAACTGAGGCAGCTGCAGGAGGGTGCCCAGGGGCACAAAGCCATCTGTGGGCAGACAGGGTGCTCAGGAGTCGGCCTTGCTCTGGCCTGGACCAGCGTTAATAGGGGAGCCACAGGCAATCAGAACAAAGCCTGGGCTTGGGGAGTCACACACGCTTCATCTGTGTGAACTTTAGAAAGTCTCCCCTTTCAGGCTGGCCTGTGGCTCACTCGGTAGAGTGCGGTGCTGATAACACCAAGGCCGCGGGTTCGGATCCCTATATAGGGATGGCCGGTTTGCTCACTGGCTGAGCGTGGTGCTGACAACACCAAGCCAAGGGTTGAGATCCCCTTACCGGTCATCTTTTTAAAAAAAAAAAAAAGAAAGTCTCCCCTTTCTAGGCCTCAGTTTCCTCAACTTACACAGGAAGATCTGTCTCATGGAGTGTCAGAAGAACAGTGCTTAGCATAGTACCTGGTCCAGAGTGGACACTCAATAAATGTCAGTTGCCCCAATACCAAGTGCCCACACTCAGGGTAAGTGTTTTCTGGACCACTTGGCTGGAGGGGGCATCACCAGGCCTGCCCCAGGCAGGGTCTCCTCTCCCAGTTTTCCATGGTCATGATATGGGGCTCTGGGCTCAGTCTTCTCTGTCCAGGGGGACAAAGTGCCCTCTGTGCCTTCCTCATAAGACGGAGATGGGAACCATGGGAGAGGGGTCACAGACAGGGTCACATTGTACCCTGGGCTGGAGCCACTCCTCACCCCAGCCTCCAAGACCCTCACTTACCTGCCCCCATGGGAAGCCCCAGCTTCAAAGCCCCATGGCGTAGCACGTAGGATAGGGCCTTCGACAGCTGCACATCTCGGTCCTGAAAGAGCCCAGTTGTGGCCCCTGGTTTCTATGGTGATCCTGCCCTGCTGCCCACCCTGAATCCTGAGTGACTCTGCGGCAAAGCGAGACCAGAGGGAGAGGAGTCCCTGTGGTCTCCAGGAATAGTATGACCCATCAGCCCTCCACCCCAACTCCACCAGCATTTTCCAGGGAGCCAGGTTTCAGAATCGAGTCCCCCTCCCCTGTCCTCCCACCATGGGGTGGAGGTGGGGAGGAACGCACCTGTTCCCGGGGTCTGTGAGCGCTTCTACCCCTGGGCCCTGCTGCTTCCTGCCTCCTTCCTCCAGAGGAGTTCATGGCCAAGACCTGCGGGGATCAGTGACTTTAAGAACCCCCCTATGTCCCACCCTGCTCAGAAAGTCACAAAGCCTATAAGAACTGAAAGAGGGATACACAGCTCATTGAATTCGCTTCCCACCCCCAAATCCCTGGTGCGGACAGGGAAACTAAGGCGCAGCAGGCGACTTGCCCAAGGTCACACTGTCAGCGACGGAGCCCAGGGAAGCCGAGTCCCCCGCGCTCCAAGATCGCGGGTGTGCCTTTCAGGCAGACAGGGCGGAAGCGTCAGGGCAGGCCAGGACAGAGACAGGTCACCGACCGCGCCCGGACCGGCCAATGAGAAGCTGCGGAAGAAGGGGCGGGCACTTCCGCTTCGGGGAGAGGGGCGGAGCACGCGGGCCCTGCCGGCCGGTGAGTTCCCCCGCTGGAGGCTGGAGCTTCCGTACTCTGGGTCCCGGCGCATCCCGGCTTGGAGGCAGGACCCCTGGGTTGGGAGGACATGGGCATTTGGGGGTGACTGAACCCAGGACTTCTGGATGGTCAGGATGCCCGGGAGACCCCAGTACCCGGCCGGGCTCAGGGCTATTGGCGATGATAGGACACTTTACCGCCCAAGGAATGGTCAGGGGGTGCAGAAGGGCTGGGGGATCCTTCAGGAGCTTTGTGACAGAGGGGGCCAGCTGCTGGGCCCAGAGGTGGTGGTGGGCCCCCCGGGGTGACAGACCTGTCTGTGTCTTCCTCCAGAGCTGCCCTGTCCAAGACCATGGACCCTGAGGTGTCCCTGCTGCTGCAGTGCCCTCCTGGGGGGCTGCCCCTGGAGCAGGTACGGGCTGAGTTGAGCCCAGCCCACGATCGTCGCCCACTGCCAGGCGGGGACAAGGCCATCACTGCTGTCTGGGAAACCCGGCTAGAGGCCCAACCCTGGCTCTTCAACGCCCCCAAATTCCGCCTGCATTCAGCCACCCTGGCACCCATTGACTCGCCGGTGCCACAGCTGCTTCTGCGCCTGGGCCTTACTTCCTACCAAGACTTCCTGGGCACCAACTGGGCCAGCTCAGCTGCCTGGCTGCGACAGCAAGGGGCCATTGACTGGGGTGACAAGCAAGCCTATCTGGCAGACCCACTGGGTGTGGGTGCTGCACTAGCCACCGCTGATGACTTCCTTGTCTTCCTGCGCCGCTCTTGGCAGGTGGCTGAGGCCCCTGGGCTGATAGATGTTCCTGGTGGGCACCCTGAGCCTCAGGTGAGATGCCAGGCTGGGCATAAAGACCCAGCCAGCTCATGGAAGCTGGATCTCTAAGTCCTCCCAGGTTTGGTGTCCTCAACCCTTAAAGGGAAAATTGGTCTGGTGTTTCTCTGAAAGCTGCTTAGGACAGCCCTGCTCCTGCCCCTGAGCTGAAAGATGGGGAGGAGGAGTGGGCAGAAGAAAATGATACCCTATCTCACCTTCAGCCCCCAGTGTGACTCCTTCCTAGATGGACCTCTGGTTGTCCATCAGGAAAAGGAGGGCCTAGGTTAGGGAATCACCAAGACTCTTACGCTGTGCCCACAC